GCAAGCAAGTGGTCAGGGGTAATCAGACTGGCAGGCAATCAGTTGGGTGATCAGGCAGTCAAGGCAGAGTTGGTTAGGGATGATCATGCAGGCAAGTAAGTGGTTAGGGGTGATCAGGTAGGCAAGTGAATGGTTAGGGTGACCAAGCAGTCAGGCAAAGTGGTTAAAGGCGATCAGGCAGGCAATCAGGAAGCCACAGTCCTAGTTCGCTAGAGGGATGTCCCAGATTGTGAGAGAGTACAAGCCAGGCTGAGACGACACCCCCCCCCGCCCACATGCATGAATTTTGTGCACTGGGCCTTTAGTTGTTACTATTATACTGGCTTTTATAATTGCCCAGGTATGTATCTTTACCATGTTCTTTATTTCTTCCTACTGTTTCAAGTTCCTTTCATTTCAATCTGCAGGAAACCCTTGAGCATTTCTTGAAGGGTAGACCTAGTCCTAATGAACTTCCTTTTGTTTATCTGGAGTGTCTTAATTTCTCTGATATTTTTGAAGGACAGTTTTGCTAGATATAGGATTATTTTTCATAGTTTTTTTTTTAGCACTTTAAATATATTGATTCACTGTCTTAGGACCTCCAAATTTTCTGATAAAAAATTATCCTGGTATGTGATGAGTCATTTCTCTCTAGTTACTTTCAATATTCTCTTTTTGTCTCTCCATTGAGTTTGATTATAATGTATAGTGTAAGTCTCTTTAAAGTCATCATATATGGATTTCATTGAGCTTCTTAAAATATTTATATTTATGTCTCTCATCAAATCTGTGAAAATTTCAGCCATTATTTCTTCAAATAGTCTTTTTGACCCTTTCTTGCTTCTCCTCCTGGGATTCCAACAACAAGGTATATGTTATGATAGTTTACTTGATAATATTCTATAGGTCTATTTTAAACCTGACACAATGGGTCTGAGGCCTCTTGTCATTACTTGGGCCAATTTAAGCAAAGACAGGGTTGAATCATATATGAGCACTAAATCCAATAATGTTGGCAATGTGGGGAAAGCAGTCATTCACCCTAGAAAATCTGCTCTGACCTCCTATCAGGGTACCTTATCTATTTACAGCCTATATCATCCTCCAGTTCCACAGGGTCTGTAAAAAAGTTCTTATTTTAATTAGTAAGGTGAATAATAAACAACAATGGTTCTGTCTTATCTTGTGGCCTTCCCCACTATCAGATTGGGCACTGTTGACTTCTGTTTAATCTTTCTTTCTTTCTTTCTTTCTTTCTTTCTTTCTTTCTTTCTTTCTTTCTTTCTTTCTTTCTTTCTTTCTTTCATTGCTCAGACACAATAATTGTCATTGCCCTATCTTTAAGGTCATTTATTTATTTGTGTTTTTTTTTACCTGCTTAAATCTATCTTTGAATTTCTCTGGTTAATTTTTTATTTCAATTATTATGCTTTTCAATTCCAGAATTGCTTTATAATTTCTTTGTTGGCTTTCTTTCTATTGATATTTCCATTGTTTTCACATATTCTTTTCTTGACTTTCTCTACATTTCTTTTAGTTCTTTGATTAACTTTAAAACAGTTGGTTTAAAGTGTTTCTCTAGTAGGTCATTTTTCAGATGTTTTTTAAGAGCAATTTCTGTTAATTTATTTGTTCCTTGAATGGGCCGTACTTTTCTTTCTTTGTGCATCTTGTATTTTTCATTGTTATTGAAAACTGCGCATTTGAACCTGATAATGTGATAACACTAAAAAAATCAGAGTCTCTAATTTCCCCAGGTATTGCTGTTTAATGTCACTTTTGTTTATTTATTTTTTATTGCAAACTTAAGCTTTATAGATGTAAATTTAAGGAATTCTCTAGTATTCTCAAGTATTTTATGGCCTTTTTCTAGGCCATGGCTGGCAAACTGTTATTCCTTGTGATTAAGCCCCTATCCCAGGGGTCGGTTTGCTGCTCTGTTGACTAATGAGTTTGCCGACCACTGAAATAGGGGCTTAATCACAAGGAACAACAACAGCCTATAATAATTGGAATCAATACTCAGTGACTTTCTTATCCACCCATCCCTCATATATTGTTGCTTTTGAATGTTCTAGTCTTTAATACCTGACTTCCAAAGGGGGAAAAATCAGAAAAAAATAAAAGGGGAGGGAAGATTCTGGAATATATATTTTGGAATTTATTTTAGTTTAGCAGCAGGACTTGCACCAAGAGGGGCAACAACAATGGCTTTCTGCACTTCTGTGAGCACCAACAGCGAGCACTCACCGTGGTGTGAGTTCTCTGCTACGTGGAAGGCAGGGTTCTTTTACCAGGGCCTGTTACCCACAAGCCTGGTACAAGCTGCTTCTGGAACATGTGTACAGTTTCCTGCCTAGGGGCTGAGGGATGGGGGCTGGCTATTGTCTCAGAACTGTAATTGACAGAAATTAATTGCAATTTACTGTCCAATCCTTCCCCAGGAAGTTTCAAGACTTTAATGGACTTCAGAGTTCCAAAACAGCTATATCAGTCTGATTCTACCAATGTAATTATTGTCTAAGTAAAGAGAAAAATCCCTGGTCCTTCTTGCACTGCCATCTTCCCCAAATCCTTCAATATTATTGTGATTTTTCATAGATTAGGCCAATTCTCCATCCTAGGGTTTGTTATACCCTTTTACCAACACCAGAAATGTCTAAAAGTTCATATTTTCTCAAAGACTCACCAATAGAATGTGGTATCCAGCATGGAACATTGCTAATCTAACAGCAAAATGAAATTTCAATGTGGCTCTAATTTCATGTTTTTATTTTTATATATAAAATGAACATCTTGGTTTATGGTCAAGGGTCATTTGCCTTAATCTCTCTGCTCAGCTCTGCTCATTGTCTATCCCAAGTCTGTTTTATGTATTATTAATATTTTTCTTTACTAATTTGTGAATCTTAATAAGTTAGGGATATAAACCTTTGCCTCTGATGTAAATTACAATAATTTCCCCTACTTTGTTGCCTGTGGTTTTATTTTGTTTATTTTGTCTTACCATGTAATTTGGTAATGTTATCAAAATTATCTCTCTTCACTTACTGCTTTTCTATAATATTTTGAGTCATACTTAGAAAAGATAAGCTCACTCTTACTTGAGAATAGAGTTCATGTTTTTATCTATTACTAGCATTTGTATTGTTTCATTGTTCATTATGCATGAATGCCTTCTCCACCAAGAGTTTACTCTAGTATTGCGTATGAAGAATGGATGTGATTTTTGTCATTTTCTGTATGGCTCTCCTATTAGATGAAAGTACTCATTAAATGTTTTCTACTGTTTAAAGTGACTCTATTATCATATGCTAAGTTTTCATGCACAATTTTTACTGATTCTAAATTTTCAAGTCTATTTTACTGGCATAATTTTTTTTTTCTTTTGTTTTTGTTTGTCTCAGAATTTCTTATCTCACAGTTAAAACAAAGCAGAATTTCTTTTCTTATCTCAGAGTTGAAGCCAAGGACTAGTAGCAATTAACTCATTTCTGCATATGTTTGGATTCTGGCAAACTGGATTGAATGCAAGTTCTATATTACATTGTCTCTTTGACTTTGGACAGTTATTTAATGTCTCTAAACTCCCTAGTCCTACACTGTAAATGAAAAGGATTCACAAAGTTATTAGTGATTACTTATATAAAGCATATAGCACAGAGTAGGCTTTAATAATTGGAAGCTATGTTATTTTATTCTTATTATTATTTGGCCAAATTCATATACTCTCCAGTTATATGATTTAATGTTTACTTTTTTCTTCAAGTTGGGAAAAATCCTATCCTATATAATAAAAAGGTAATATGCAAATTGACCATCATTCCAACACACAAGATGGCCATCCCCACGTGGTCAAAGATGGCTGCCACAAGATGGCCAGCAAGGAGGGGCAGTTGGGGGTCAATCAGGCTGGCAGGGGAGCAGTTAGGCATTGAACAGGCTAGCAGGGAAGTGGTTAGGCGGTGATCAGACTGGCAGGCAGAAGCAGTTAGGGCAATCAGTCAGGCAAGTAGGCAACTGGTTGGGAGCCAGCAGTCCTGAATTGTGAAAGGGACCCCAGATTGGAGAGGTTGCAGGCTTGGATGAGGGACACCCCCCTGCACAAATTTCATGCACCAGGCCGCTAGTATTATAATCATGTTGCAGTATACAAAGGTAGATGATACAATTGAAGGACATTTCTCATTATCATATCTGCATTGAAGAAATATCATCTTTAGACATTAAAAGTATAATGAAAATGTGTCATGTAGTATTTAAAGTATTTTTAAAATATATTTTTATTGATTTCAGAGAGGAAGGGAGAGGAAGAGAGAGATAGAAACATCAATGATGAGAGAGAGTCATTAATTGGCTGCTTCCTGCATGCCTTCCCCAACTGGGGATCCAACCCCCTTCCCCACCCTTGCATGTGCCCTGACATGGATTCTGGGACCTCCTGGTTCACAGGTTGACACTTAATCACTGAGCCATGTTGGCTGGACTAAAATATTTTGTATATAATTGATGTGGTTAGTTTGATTCTTATCTTTAAAAATATTTGGCCCACTGGAACAGAATATGCTGATTTTAATTTCCAAGCATCTTCATATTTGGTACAAATTACCAGTCATTGTTTGTTATAAGATATGTTGAAAGACCATGCAAGCTATAATTAAGATTTATGCCCCATTAAAATACAATTTTAAAATTCAAAATTTGCTCTCTATACACTTAATATCTCTTTTTATGCAATGAAGTCTCAAATAATTAAAGAAATTAATTCTTTAGAGCCCTCTTAATAAAGGGTATTTGGAAAATCAGCCAAACATAACATATTTTTCATTCTCTTGCTCATAAACTAATTAATTATATATCACATTTGCATCTGCTTTCCCTAGACTGCATAATTTTGAAACTTAATTTACTAATGAAATCATGATTTTGTTCCTCCATTAATGAAGGGAAATAGATATAGCAGATAAACATATCACTTATTGTTCTCAATTATGTGCTGAAACCTCACTGTCTTTCAGGGACTCCTGAGGATTACCCACGGTTTTTCCATATGCATCCCAGGACTGCAGAGCTTACTCTCCTGGAGCCAGTAAACAGAGACTTTCACCAGAAATTTGATTTGGTTATTAAGGTAAATTAATTTCTTATTTCCTTGTGTTTATAAATTGTTAATAGACGGCTACTGCAGGCACTTTAATGTTATAAAAGTTCAAATGAATTTGGACAGCAGTTCACCAATATTTTATTTAAACAGCAAAGTGCAGCAGTTTTAACCCATTGTTGCTTTTCTTTAAAATAACTTTTTATATTACAATGTGTTAAATACTGAATATTTTTATATGGAATAAATGCTCTGGTCAAATGTATATGATTCTACATGCTGCCCTTTATTATATCTTTAACTTTTTTTACTTAAAGAAGTTAATTTTTATTTGTGAAACTTAACCAATGAATATATTTTAAATGTGCATGGATTAATATTTTATTTTATTAAAATATTATTTTAAATATATATTCTTATTGATTTCAGAGAGGAAGGGAAAAGGAGAGAAAAATAGAAATATCAATGATGAGAGAGAATCATTGACTGTCTGCCTCCTTCATGCTCCACAATGGGGATTGAGTCCATAACCCAGACATGTGGCCTGATCAGGAATTGAACTGTGACTTCCTGGTTCATAGGTTGACAATCAACTACTGAGCCACACCAGCTGGGCAAAAATATCATTTTTATGAATTTTTGTCTAAAATAATAAAAAATATCTCAGTTGTCTAGAAATTATTTTAATGTATATCACTATTTAAAATTCTGATAGATGATCCTAGTCTGGAAAACTTTTCAAGTGAGGGATATCAATTTGGAATTATAATTTTGGCATAATAATATTTCATTTTTCATGATAAAATCATTTGAAAGGTACTGTTAACAGGCAGATGATCTATCAATTAATTCTGATAGGCTTCATTAGGATCTAACATTTGAGTGGGTCAGTGAAGGGATGGTTTGGGAGAAGGCTATTCTAAGTAATAGAACAGACATAAGAAATGAAATGAGTAAGTCTACTGTGTGTTATATAGCTTTTTCTTATCTACACATAAAAAACATGACAGATATGCAGCCATATGGAATTTTTAAAATTTTAAATTGGGAAAGGAGAAGGAAGTATAATACTATAAGGAAGCTTACTGAGCATGTACACGGGACAAAGTGTTTTATGTATGTTTTTTCATTGAATTGTGGTCATATCCTTAATATTATATTAATCAGTGCACATGTGGAAACTAAAGGTCAGAGAGGGTGTTTGGCTCAGAGTACATCATTAAGAAGCAGCAGAATTTAGATTCAAATTTAGGTTTATCTAAGCTAACACTGTACTTTTTTCATTTCACCAAGATGCAGTTGCTAAGACATGATTGCCTGGCTTAACTACCTGTCAGTGAAACAACAACAATTATATGTAGACACGCATTTCATTTTATACCTAATTTGAACATATTTTGTTAGGAACTTATTATCTTTTACATACCAGATCTTTTTCTTATTCTGTGGTCCTTTGTCCTTAAAAAAACATAGTCTAGAAAGAAAAGCATAACATAATCCAATAAATCAAATATAGCAAACATATAAACTGCTAACAGAAAGATACATAAGGGCTGATGAAGCAGAGAATAAGTACATTTAAATGAATCTGAGGACGGACTTGGGAAGATTTTTCTGGAAATTACCCCAAGTTAAATTTTGCTGTGTTTGGCCAATGAATAGAAGGTAGGAAATATGTTTGAACATAAGGAAGAGCAGAAGTAAAAGCTTGGAGGCATAATGTAGCTGGCTACAAGCAGTTAACAGGGAAATGAGGTATAGAGCCAGACCACAGGGAAAGCCTTCTGTGCCATTGCAATCTCCTTGAATTTAATTCAGTAGGGGTTTAGGAGTCATTTAACAAAAAAAGAATCATTTTACCTCTGATGTATAATGGTCATGCATGAGATAGTTCATCTTCTTGCATTGACCACATTTTTTTTTAAATCATAGGATTGTAGAAAACTAAAAAATGTGTATCCATTATCTACTGTCTGTCTGCCCGTAGCCCTGTGCTGCAGCTTTCTACGAGAATTAGGAAACTTGACAAAGCACTGTTTCCAAACTCCCTCATTTGAAACCTGAAATCCATTATTTTCCTTTATTATCAAAGTCAGGTACCCAAGTGTATTGGCTACAGTAAAGCCCATCAATTGTTAGAAATAAAAACCAATTAGAATAAAATGCAGGTATTTTTATAAATAATACTTTATGTTTTTAATGGAAGTTCGTTCAGACATTATTAGGTTAAATTTATTGTGTGTGTGTGTGTGTAATTAAGAGGATAATGAGCAAAGGTATCAATCTATAAGAATCATAACGTGGCACCTGAGTGAACAATAGCTGGACACTGTGGTTTTGTGTAGGGATCCGTTGACTTGCTACAGCTGGGAGTTCTCTTCCTCCGTAAGACTGTCACCTTCTTCCCTTGTCCTTATTTTCATAATGCTTCCTTTTTCTCTGGCCATCAACGTTTTTATTGGGTTTGATCCCAATTTCTATATTGGAAGCTAAGGAAAAATAAGGTAAAATGAAATATCTTCTAGACTTTGAAGAAGAATTCTTCTTTGAAAAGCTCTATGTTCATTTAACCCCTGGTGAATGTCATGAATTAAAGATTTATCATCTTCATTTTATCTCTTTCTTCATGTGACCTATTCAGTATTCTGACAAATAAAGTATAAAGGTGAACCTAAAGGGACAAAAGGGAGTAGTTCTCCAACTTTTAGATTATTAAAGGATTAACACGTGTCAGTTAAAAGAGGAAAAAATGTTCCAGATCAAATATATTCTAAATTTTAAATAATAATAATCACTTAATCATACTTTTAAATTAAATACATATTTTAAATAAGAATTTTACATCTGGTTTGCCCAGTACAGTTCAAATTTATTCCTTTTGTTCTTGTAGAATTATTCAGAAAACCTCTTTCACTCTCAAAAAATGCCCCAGTTTGAATGAAATGTTATGTGATCATTATATTTATAAAACAAAACAAAAATATATATGATGTAGAAATATGAAGTCCCATTTTAGACACTAGTTGATAATGAGTTAGTTTGTGCATGAAGTATGAATAACAAAGCCCAGAAAATTCACCTCCATTATCATAAATGCACCATTTCTTTAAAGAATGTTATTAGTCAATACTTGGGCATCTAATACAAAGATTAAATAGATAAAATTATTAATAATTCACTGCAGCTCAGTTGCTCATACATAATTGTGTTTTTAATCTACATCACTCTAATAAATAACTAACAGTGAGGGTCACAATGATATTAAAATCATCATTGTATCATGGTCCCTCTGATTTGTCTGGTGTGACTCATTGGCCTACTCCATCAGGCTAACCTTAAGCTTCTTTTCCTTCCACGTCATGGGCATGTTAAGCATAAGCTATCATATGAGGCCACTCGCAGTGCCCAAAACCCACCATGCTCTTTCTAAACCCCTGGTATTTACAGATGTTGTCCCTCTTCCTGAATCAGTCCTTCCTTTCTTCAACAGTCTCATTCACACTGATGCTTCATTGAGGCTTTAGATGCTGAGAGGACATTTCTGGGATGGCATGGCCACTGGTGGGAAGCCCCTCCTTGCATTCTGCATGTCCCTGTGGTGGTTCTGAACTTGAATTAGCCTGATATTTTCTCCTGACTTTTATAAGAGGGAGGATTGTAATATTTTTGTTTACATTGTAGCTCACATTCCCATCTGTATGCATAGATAGTATATGCTGTAATGGTTTCCTCTCTGGGACAGGAAATCTTTTAAATTTCACCTGTGTCTCTAGTCCCACTAAATATGTATTGAACTTCACAGATTCAAACTCTGGAAAAAGTGCCCAACCTTTATTAAAGCACAGTTTAAAGCCATGTATGAGTGTATGTTAATAGAATATCCTTTCTTCTAAAGAAAAGATATATTTTTGGCACACAAAATGAACCACAGAATTGAGCTTATAAGTTAGTGCTGATGTGCAGGTTTTTCTGACATGTTACTTGGCTTTAGTAATTTGGGAGTCAAAGAACAGCAGCATCAGAGAATGATTGAGGCCTAAGAGAACACCTACTGCAACCCCTGACCACATATGTGAATCTCCAGTGCCATTGGAAAGCATTTAGCTTCTATTTGAATAATGATCTCAATTATACTTTACCTCACAAGGACACAATGGGGAAAATTTTAAGGAAGGAACTTGGCATTTGCTAGTTTCAGTTTGCCAAATCCTTTCTGATTGCTTATTAGGTGCCTGACATTTTGCTTGGTGTTGAGGAGACATAAATGTATGAAAGCTCTATTCTCAAGGCAATCACAGATATGGAAATTATGCTTTCAGACCTACTTCCCTTTTGAATCCTGCATTCATATTTCCTATTACTGGCTGTATAACTCTTCTTAGTGTTACATGATTGTGTCAAATTAAGAATGTAGTAAATTACATACATCCTTTTAAAACCTTAAGCTTCTTTCTTTCCATTAATAATATTATAATCAGCCACTCACCCAAGCTTAGAGCTTTCAGTGCCTCTTATGTATTTGTCCCCATCCGGTCAGTTTTCAAATCCTGTCTGGATGCCTCTGGAATTCATTCTCAAATGTCTTCCCAACTCTCCATGCTCTCAGCAATTCTCTAATTCTCATCCTCATGGCCACCATCTCACAAACATAAGTCCACTTTCCTTGCACCCTAACCCCTCTCCCCATATTGCTTACTGAGTGTTGCTAAAACAAACAAAAACAGATCATGCTGCTGCATATTGTCCTCAAGTCTCTTTACAATTTTCCCCCTAGGTGAATTTCCAACAGAGAACTTGATCAATTAACTGATCACAGGTGTCAGGGACAGACAAACAGAGTGACAGGTCACAGATCATCGGTCATCTTTTCTAAAATAAAAAGGATGGCCTCTCCCATGAAAATGAAAGTCCTATCAACACTCATTGACTCTTGTTAAGATTGTGAAGTGTAAGTTATGATTCTTTCTGCTGTAGTGTATTGACAGTGCATCAAAAATGAAAGAAATAAAGGGGAGAAAAGAAAGGCATGG